ATTATCTATTTCCATCTCATAGGGTCACTTTAAATTACGTCTTTTATTCAAAACCATCGCGTATAGAACTAAATTCGATAGTCAGTTAAATCTCAATCAAGACCCATTTTTTTTGGTTCACAAAACAACTATCTATTTACAATTGCTACTATTTATCAAAAATAATTAATTAATCTGTTGTTTTTATTATGATAAAAGTTATATATATGTATCTAATTATATTATGGAAAATGTGTAATCAAATAAGCATTTATTTTATAATATTAGTTTTAGAAGTCTGGAGTCATTGAAGTACTGTTTGAGACCCCAAGATTTTCATTGAAGACGCCAGATTTCATTGGACACCCCAAGTTCTTAAAGGAGACCCCCAGATGTTCATTGGAGAGTGGAGACCCCAAGTGTTTCATTGAAGACATTTAGATTTTCCTCGGAGACCCCATGGCCATATATTCATCAGAGACCCCCATATTTTCCTCGGAGACCCCAATGGCCATGTATTCATCAGAGACGCCCAGATTTTCCTCGGAGACCCCATGGCCATGTATTCATCAGAGACCCCATGGCCATGTATTCATCAGAAAACCCATGGACATGTATTCATCAGAGACCCCATGGCCATGTATTCATCAGAGACCCCATGGTCATGTATTCATCAGAGACCCCAATGGCCATGTATTCATCAGAGACGCCCAGATTTTCCTCGGAGACCCCATGGCCATGTATTCATCAGAGACCCCATGGCCATGTATTCATCAGAAAACCCATGGACATGTATTCATCAGAGACCCCATGGCCATGTATTCATCAGAGACCCCATGGTCATGTATTCATCAGAGACCCCATGGCCATTTATTCATCAGAGAACCAATGGCCATGTATTCATCAGAGACCCCAAGGTCATGTATTCATCAGAGGCCCCATGGACATGTATTCATCAGAGACCCCCAGATTTTCCTCGGAGACCCCAAGATTTTATTGGAGATGGAGACCCCATGCATACTATAGATTGTCAGAGATTTCTTGTCGGAACGATGTTTGTTTACAAATACACATATTGCTATTTGATACATTTGCTACAAACGGTTACCATAACTAACCTAACTAACCTAACATAATGATGAAAACCAATATGTACATAAAAATCCACATCAAATCAAAGGAAAAGCATATATTTAAACATTTCATATTTATCCCGTATAAATATTATACAAAATTTCTGTATGGTAATACGATAAATAGAAAGTAGAATTTATATGAAAAAATGTCCTAATGAAGAATCCAAAACAGTTTTTAATCTAAAATATCCATGACTTATTTAACATATCCATGACTTATTTAACTTGCCGAATGCCCGTGTCTTCATAAGTCTCATCTTTTTTTGTGGGTGTAACATATAGACGAATAACTGGGAGAAACTTTAAAAAAACATGATTTTTTGTTTCTTTTATTAAAAGGGAACTCTAGAATGAATTTGAAAAGAAATGTGAATTGGAATTTTTATAAATATTTTTATCCATTTTGTTAAAAATTAATTAAAAATTCCAGTAGAAGAGAAGAAAAGTCCTACTCCAAACTGCAAATTGCATAGTTACCGTAAAACTGTACCGTAAGAAGACGACATTCCAGCAATCTTATGTGAGGTTGATGTTATTGGATAGTGTTTCTTTCGACCTACGCAAATCCGTTATACTCCACTTCTGACCTACGCCAAATCCGATAAACTACACATCCGACCTACTAGCAGGTGGTTTTACAGCTGCTAGATGCACTTGTGGCCGCAGCGCCCAACCCCCTAGCCTGTCCTAGCCGCGGCGCTAGGCACCCCTTGCCTGTCCTAGCCGCTGCGTTCGGCCCTAAAATTGTACCTGACCTTACCTATTCCTCAAATAATACAAAAATGAACAGCTGGCGTAGGTCCAATATTGCAGTAGGTCGGAAAGTTAGTAGGTCATATGTTGCTTGTAGAAGATGTAACAGTTTGTTTTCAACCTTTGTGACAGATATATCTCAAGGAATAATAATTGTCTTAAAATATTTTTTTTTTAAGTGAATATTTGCAAAATATCTATTTCCATCACATAATCTGAGTTCGTTTCCTTATGTCCATTTGACAGCCAAAATTTTTATTTTGAATAATCTTTTTGTTTGTTTATTTTCTTGTGATTTAAAAAAAACAATTTTCATTTTTTTTTTTGATTTTGATGGTTATTATATATCGTTAGAACTGACGAGGGTCAACCCCAGCCCGAAATATATTTTCAATAAATGTGGAACTAAAATCTACTTTTTTACTCTAAAGAGGTTTGGTCCATCACCATCACCGAATTTGAAATGTAAAATTATTGTTGTTAAAAAGCAAATATTTTTATCTGCATCCTGATTATCAACTTATGAAACTGGTCTGCGCACACTGCTTTCGTGTTAATTTGACTATTTAAAGTCATATATTGTGACCAAATGTCGTTTTCCTTTTCCCAAATTTCAATGATTCTATCGTATGTCGTTTAGTCTTATTTGGTCTAAAAGTTGTCTTACTATCTCATCCTGATTTGTAGTACATTGATAACTAGAAAACTGTAGAATAGGAAGACGACATTAAAGCAATACTGAAGTGCATTTAATGCTGTTAAAAAGCAAAAAGCAAAAAACCTTACCAGTGAGAATTTTTTAATCCCTTTTTTATTGAAATGGGTCTGTTAACATTGCACAATTGCTGTGCCTCATGTTCATTTAAATATTTAAAGTCATAACTTGAGTTTAAAAGTCGACTTCCAATTCTAGAGTTTCTGTAATTAAATTTTTCAAATCACATATTGGTGGTCTGTTTCAATAAACATGTGAATCAATATATGGATCTCGAATTTGATTCGATTTAGATCGTCATGTGAGCTTTCTAAATTTTCTATTTTGTATAACAAAGTTTTTATTAACACATTCATGATATGAATGAGAATCAAATTTTCCTAAATTATTTACATCTTAGCAAAATATTACAACATAATTATGATCACAAAATCACTGGAATTAAAAACTATTATTTTGTCTTTTTTTTAATTCCATGCCTGTTTGAAAACTCTGTAGTTTGATGTTTTCAAGATATTCTGAAAACTTTTAGCTTTCAACATTAACAGATTGTCAGCCAGTATTTGGTCTGATTTTTTAACAAAACAAACAAAGATCCACTACAAGGTTCAAAGTACATCGATATATATTCTTTCATGGAGTTGTTGAGAATGAGGAACCATAACTATGCTGTTCTGTATGCTCTCTTATCAAACACAGTAAGTAATTAGAACCGGTTTATTGAAGCAAAATGGCCGCCATCAAAGTCCAGATCGTTGTCAGCTGATTCGCGGATTTCTCTCCAGAAATTAACTCCGAGGGAACATCAAGTCCTTCTAAACAATAAGATTAAACTCAAATAAATCGGTTTGCGAAGTGGTTATAACTCTTAGTTGTGATTGTAGACCTCTGGGTTAGGGGTTCTATATGAAAATGGAAAAATTGCGAAAAATGAAGGAGCTGTTTAAGAATTGCAACAAATTACGCGATAGTTTGCTGCTGATGGGGGAATCCCTACGAGGTGTCCCATTTGTCTTCTATCAATGTGGCATTTTTTTATTAATACAATTATTGCAGTATTTTAACATCTGATATGGAAAACGCCTGGTCTTGAAATTTTCAAAATGAGGTCTACCATTTTTGTTTTTTCAAAATTGAATGAGATATTCAAAATTTGTACAAATTTCAATTTATTTAATAAATCAAAACTGTCTTAATATCTATCTTTATAAAAAGCTCGTCTGACGTACAGTCTTATTTTTCACTTTCTTTGCCATGCATTAAATATAAAAAATCAAAGACGACTTTCACGTCGTTTCTCAATTCCCATGTTTATTGGGACAGCGTGTATGTTGGAATTGCCCATTGCCACATTTACTAAACTCAATTTTTTCACAGTGTAAACTTTAAAAGTAAAGGATTTAGGCTTAATTCTGCAGATATCGCGGGAAATTCACAAGAAAAATTAAAAATTGATTTTTAAAACTGGTTTCTTTGATTTTAATGAGCCTGTTTTGATTGAATAGTTTTGAAATAAAAAAGTGTTGAACTTTGGTTTTATAGTCAAAATGTTTAGGATTTTAAATACGTATACTTCCTGGTTGTTGCTATTAACTCATTGAAAAAACGTTGAGTTGCGATCTTAAATCTTATTTAATTTAATGTTTTAAAGTAAAATAATAAAGTAAGTTGAACTTTCTATTTTTAATTCAAAAAGAAAATATAAATTGAATTTTGAAAAATGTTTTGTTAGATTATCTTTGGTATTTTTATCAATCTAGGACAATGTTTTATAAAAGCTGAATATTTGAATATTTGTATATTATTTTTAGAAAATTTCTAAATTTCAAAAATATTTCCTTTAAAACATGGTTAAAATATGCGGTTGGACCTCAGAGCTTGGGAGGGATTATCTAGAATATTTTATATTGAAAACATCATGTCCTGTCATACAGTCATAACCAGAAAACTCCGAAATAGGAAGACGACTGTGTAGCAATAAAGAAATGTATTTGATGTTGTTATGATGCAAATAATTTTACTAGACACTTATTAAATCATAAATCAAGTGAAATGAATAATTTCTGTTTCCCGTGCTCATTGGACTATCTAAAGTCATAATTTAAGTTTAGAAGTCGTCTTTCTATTCCAGAGTTTTCTGGTTATCATTGTATGAAACCATATTTTTGAATATCATTTTTCAAAGCTTATCTCCAAATTTTTAAAAACAAGTTATCCAAGAAAATATAGAATTAAAGAGAGAGGAAAAGGTTAGGTATAGGCAAGGTTATAATAGAAGGAAAGTTATTTTAGAGCTATACGCATCTTTTGTACTGCAGTGTATTATCTCTGGGTGGTAATGTAAACACAAGACGGGTGTCACAGTCTGACATGGGATCTTCACATAAAAAATCAATGAAACATTCTGGTCATGGGAAACTTTTATGTGAATTATCAAAATTATCAAAATTAAATGCGTTTAACCTCCTCGGATACTAAACGAACATTGATGCATCTATTCTTGTTTAAAAAATTACGCCCAGAGAGAACAGGTTTCAATATGTACGCAGAGTATACGCAACTGCAATTAAATTTCCTTGCGCAAATACCTTGGGGATAGGTCCGTCACATAAATTTCGCTCGAAGGGGATTACTCATTAGGGATACAATCAGTATACAATTGTACTGTACAGCCTGATCTAGCTTGTTAAAAGTCGGCCCGGTAATTGAAATAAACCAGAGTTCTGTATTTTCAAAAAATGTTGGTAAACATTCCTTTAACGTGGGCCTTCAGCTGGAGTGTTCGTAACAAGGTTGTTTTTTTTTATTCCAAAGTTTTAACTGCTGGATAATGTTAAGGACTTTAATGATGGTTGGTTGTTAATTATCGTTGATCGTTAATAATCCTCCAAACCCTTTAACTAGCTGTACTCGCATTGATATATTTATATATGACTAGCTGAAGTGTCCGGCATTGCAAGTGGAATTTTAAAAAACAATTTAAAAAAAATTTAAATTAAAAATATTTAATTTTGAAAAAAAAAATTTTTCGCGCCGTTTGGCCAGCTATAAACTAACATATAAACATACACCCATACATACAAATATATATATATGAACGAACAGCTTTATTATATAGATATACTAAAAAATAATTTCTTTTTTGTCTTACCCTCACCATTAATTTATTTCTCCATCATCCTATCACACTTAATTATATTTCTTCTCTTATACTATTTTTTTCAATGTATATATTAGGTCTTAAGTAAAGATGGGTATGGTACTGGAGTCCTTTTTTACACATTCAAGGTTTTTTTCTTGCGTAAAATGTTGCTCTTACAGAATCTGAGATGTTTGACAAAAACCAAAAAAAAGATTTTCTATAATTTTGCTATAATCACATTAAACTTTAATTTTTTTCTCTTACCAAAAATATTTACCAACACGATTTTTTGTGAAAAATGGTGTCGTTCAGAAAAAAACGAACGATGGACGAACAATTTGGATCGTTCAGAGAAATTGAAAAACTATCGTCTTTCAAAAACAAACGGAAAAAACAATCGATTTAAAATTGTTTGAATGAACTTGAAAAATCAATTGCTGTTTACTGAAGGAACAAATTTTTCAAAAGATTTTGAAAAACTACAGTTTTTTTATACTGAACGAACAATTTTTGGGAACAAACATGTTAAGAAATCATACTTTTCTTACTGAACAAATGATTTTATTGCACAAATGATTTTACTGAATGATCATTCAGTGATAAATGAATAAAGATAAAGAAAATTAACAATATTTTTGAGAAATAAAGAAATAAATTTTTCTAAATAATTGAAAAAAACTAATAAAATGGGTCATAACAAAAGATGAACGAACGAAATGACAAGGAGCTGAGCGTGCCCATTTCTACCTGTGGATGCCCTTCCCCTTGGATATATTTGAAAAAGTGAGGACACAAATCATATCGCTATTTTTAGTTTCATTGTTTAATGTTTTTTTTATATATTTTACCTTTACTGACCAGTAGTTGTACACTAGCTGGTCTTGTAATATCACTAATACACGTGTACTCTCCTGCATCAGCTGACGTCACTGATTCAATGTACAGTCTGACCCGGGACACTCCAGGCAACTTCTCAGTCTCTAGTGAGAGTCCACTGCGAACCCTGGCGGACAGCTCTTTTCCATCTTTCTTCCACTTTAATATTGTTGGAATCATCCCAGCTTGCCCATCTCTAGAATAAGAAAATAAATAGGATTACGCCATGTTTTAAAACATGCTGAAAGATTCGAAAACAGAGATCAGATTTATTAAATTGAAGCAAGGTCGCTGAACTACCATCCTTCGGTTTAACTACTTCTCAAGTCTTCACTGGCTCAAATCCTGAATCACTCATTCAAAGAGTTCTAACAATTAATTAAACTCAGTCCAACAATTGGCAGATTATTTTAAAAAAGAAACGGAAAATTTTGCTAATCATTTTCTAAAGAAACAAAAACAATTATTAGTTCAAAAACAGCACAGAAATTTCTAAGAAAAACTAAACGTTGATATTTTTGTTTATGCCACATGCCTAAATGGACTAACTAGACCTGAACAAAATAAATACTTTTTTGGGGAATTGAACACAAAACCCTTTTAGTACATATTCTGATAAAAGGCAAATTTCTACCCCAACACACAGAATATGTATGAATCTGTATTGGGAATTTTGTTAAGAAAGAGAACCATTGGTTTGGAAAAGGAACAGAAAATTGAAGAGTCGGAGACAGCAAATATTTTAACATGCCCATCCCTATAGAACGGATATTTTGGAATTTTCTTTTCGTTTTTATTCAAGAAAATCACGGTTATTTTTGGAAATTCAAAATGTTGGGATTTTCCATAAAATGGTTCAAGATTTAAAGGTATTTGACCAAGCTTATACAGTTGATTATAAACGATTGATTATCGACAATAAAGTGTACATTGTTGTTTTTATTTTTTTCGTTTTTCTTGCGTGTTTGTTTCATTGTTTAATTGTTTTAAGGGTAACTATGTATTATGTGAATATTGTAGGGTGTTAAACACGACTCACACCAAATTGAACGTAGCGTCCTTACAAATTCAGAAAGTTGCAATATTTGACTCAGATCGTAAACCAAATCAATTTAATTCCTGACAAAACATTCAGATATTACAACCTATAATCATCGAATTGTATTCGAAGTATTTTTATATAGTGTATATTTCATAATATTTTTTGTTTTGTTTTATATATGTTGCAATTTATAATATGTTTCAATTTATATGACGGTGAGTTGGCCGCCAGGTGTCTCTGTGTCTCATGATTCACCTATAGCAGACAAAAAATCGTTGTTTTAAGTTCATTGTATTTAAAACAAATAAATATACTGAAGTATGAACTATATACGAATGCGTCGAATAAAATTTGATGATTAAAGGCTGTAATATCTGAAAGATTTGTTTGGAATTGAATTGAGTTATTTACGATGTGAGTCGAAAATTGCAAATTTGTGAATTTGTATGGATGCTATAACATTCTTCGGAAAGAGTCGTGTTTAACCAATTTCTCCTAATGAACGCAACAGATGGAAGTAAGATTAGTGGTGATCACCATCAAAATTTTTCGACATAAGCCTATAACCCTTTTCATTTTTTGCGAACACTCCCTTTAAAACTTCAAAAATTAGAATAGCTAAATGACAAATAGTATATGTGAATCGTCGATAGCACTTTTTTATAGCATGGCATGATTTGTAAATATTTAAAGGGTCACAGAAAATGACGCGTCCAATCCTTTTAATTAGAAAATTTTGCAGTACGCATTTTGCAAATTCTAGACTTGAAGTTAGAGAAACCTAAAAATGATGAATTTTAGTCCCCAGGGGAGAAGGATTGGAAGTTTAATCCATCAATCATGTTTCAGAATTTTACTTTGAAGAGTAAATTTAGTAAAATGTACGACTCTATCGGTAAAATAAATTATGCGTATTGTGCAAACTAAAACAAAGACTTTGCTGGGCTGTAAAAACTTACCTAAAAGTGTGTTATAAAGCAAAACAAAAACGGAAAGGAAGGAGACACCAATACGATGAAAGGGTGATCGTGCACTTTCTTATAATCGCGCAAAGAGAGCGACTCGTAAACATTCTTCAAAAAGCAGCGCCATAAATGGCGGGCAAAGGGAGGCAAGGAAAAGAGAAACTGCGGACAGGCAGATGTAGAAAGGCGAAAAAGATGAACATTTGAAATTAATAACTATATGCTATAAAATATTGTTAAGAAATTCTATTCTTTTTTATTCTATCCTATTCTATTCTATTCGATCTTATTCTGTNTCTATTCTATTCCATTCTATTCCATTCTATTCCATTCTATTCCATTCTATTCCATTCTATTCCATTCTATTCCATTCTATTCCATTCTATTCCATTCTATTCCATTCTATTCCATTCTATTCCATTCTATTCCATTCTTTTCCATTCTATTCCATTCTATTCCATTCTATTCCATTCTATTCCGTTCTATTCCATTCTATTCCATTCTATTCCATTCTATTCCATTCTATTCAATTCTATTCCATTCTATTCCATTCTAGATTACAGTTCTGTGTATTAAATTCTTTTCTATTTTAATCTATTCTATTTTATTCTATTCTAATCTGCACTATTGTAGTGTATGAAATATGGGATAAATCTAAAGCATTCAATTTTGTAGATTTATTTCATGAAAAGTTTGATTTTAATATAAAAAGCTATTATGGGTTGCTTTTTTGTCATTCACCTTTCGCGGTTATAGGTTTTGGCATAATGATCTTGATGCTACAATCTTTAAATCGAGATAAAGCTTAAAATATTAAAAAAATGAAAAAAGGGGTAAAAACAGCTTATTGTTTAATGTAACAAAAAGTGACAAAAGTACACCAGGACAAGAATGTACTTCCCACCATGTACAAATTTCTAAAAAATGCTACTTTTTTCGTAATTTTTTATTCAAAATGTCAACGATTTTGATTTCAATTGATAGAAATTGTTATTTGCAAAGTTTTAATGTTTTCTAATTAAACCATTTCTAAGCCTTTCAAGTTTGAGACAATTAATCTTTTTAATTAAATTAAAACTTATTCTACTCTATTTCATTCCTGTCTTAAGGAGTGAAGGAAAAAGTCCGAAAAATATACATAAATGTTTATTGGCGGCTGATGAGGAGGGGGGGCAGAAGGTATCAACCCCCTCCCCCCCCCCATTGAAAAATGAGGATAGACTTGCAAAATACTGACCAATTTGGCTGTAATGGGGGTCAAAATGTAAAAAAATAACTATTGGGTTAATTGGGGTTAGAGCCAGGTTCCTTCAATTAATGAAATTTAAAATCAACAATTTTTTTTTCGGAAATCTCTGTATCTTACCTTGATGTGAGTGTACAGGCAAAGTTGAGATTTCCTCCTTTACTAGTGTACTGTATCTTTGGGCCGGATATTTGTAGATCAACTCCTGTACATAAAATAAAAGAAAGTGATTCCCGGGCCCGAGACGATTTTGTGTTGTAATTTTAAGGGTGTTTCAGGTTTTTTTTTCAAAAAACGATCGTTTCGATTAAAGAGAAAAAAACTATCGCGTTTGAAAACGAAGCACTCGTTTAACTTTTAAAATATAAAAAAGGTTGTACGATAATCTTAAAAAAATTTTGCTGATTTTGCTGATTTCTGAGGTTTCTGACAATTAATTAATGAAGGGTTGTCGTTAACGGTCGTTAACGAAGGGTTGTCGTTATCGACCTGTAACAATTGTCAAAAATAAAAAATTACCTACTTTCGTTAACGAAACCAACGAACTTTTGCAAAAAAGATTGTTTTTAAAAACGACAGTTTTTTTCTGAAAAGTTTTCAAAGAAGTGAAAACTTTCCATCCCTAGTTGTATGCTTGCATAATGCAGATGATTGTTTATCAAAATTAAATTATAAGGACTGTATAAAGCGTAATTTTAAGTGACTCTCCTTGCACAGGTGGCAATATCAGATTTACTTAACGGAGCCATTTGAAGCTTTGTGTGATAAATCATGAATTAGATATCCATATTTTGTTTCTTTTTACTTTTTTATTTCTTTGCAATTTCTATGAGAAAGTCACTTGCGCATTTCTTAGTTATAAGAAACAATGAAGAAATTTAGAGAAACCTACCCTTTTCTTGATAGAAAAACGACATTTATGATCAAATTAAAGTTTCAAGGTACCGTTGTAAATCGGGCATTGCCATCTTTTAATGAAGAGTTACTTAAACTGCCGCGTAAAGTCCCTTTACTATATTTCCTCTCTATCTATGTCTGAATACTCTGTGAATGTACTATATTTCCTCTCTATCTATGTCTGAATACTCTGTGAATGTACTATATTTCCTCTCTATCTATGTCTGAATACTCTGTGAATGTACTATATTTCCTCTCTATCTATGTCTGAATACTCTGTGAATGTACTATATTTCCTCTCTATCTATGTCTGAATACTCTGAATGTACTATATTTCCTCTCTATCTATGTCTGAATACTCTGTGAATGTACTATATTTCCTCTCTATCTATAGTCTGAATACTCTGTGAATGTACTATATTTCCTCTCTATCTATAGTCTGAATACTCTGTGAATGTACTATATTTCCTCTCTATCTATGTCTGAATACTCTGTGAATGTACTATATTTCCTCTCTATCTATAGTCTGAATACTCTGTGAATGTACTAGAGATGGGACAAAAGAGATAGTAAACAAAATACGTCACAACCAACTCATCTGATAAAAGAGTTGATTGGATTGTGTAATGTGTTTATTGATAATATCTGTTTACAATTCAGAACTTTATCAAATAAACATAATATTGTAACAATAAGTGAAGTAACCGGGGTTCTCCAGGTTTATACCATTATTATTATTCTAAGTTTACTCACGCTTGGCACGACAAGGGATGCATTGTTTTCACTTTTTGGAAACAGGTCGTTTCGTTTTGTTAATGATGTAGTAAAACGAAACGATCGTTTTCAAAAACAATTTTCTTTTTTTAAATCGAAAAAGGAAGAGGTATCTCTTTTTTATTTTGTTTTCGTTAACGATCGTTAGAGTGATGACTCTTTGTTAACGACATTTAACCCATTTTTAGCTATAAAATACATTTTTGGCCGGAAAACCCTTAGATCAGAAAACTTTAGGTTAGAATGCATTAAGGTCAATTCCCTCTGTAAAATAAAACATGCAGACGACATTCTCATATTTATCAGCGAAATAGTTGTTTTCTAATATATTTTTCTAATATATTTTGTTTTTAAAAGTTCAAAACGAATGGTTCGTTCGCTGTAACTCAAAGTTTTATTTAAACAGTACGATCGAATGTTGAAAAAACGAAACGAAAAACTTTCGTTCTTTCGATTGTTTTTCAAAATAATTAACAACCCTAGCCCAGCCTTTCCCGTGGAATTAAAAAAAAACATCCTGGCCGGAGAACTAATGGGTTTCCTCATAAAAATGTCAGTTCCAGTTTTTTGGCCAGCCATAGCTAATTTAAATATTCTGAAGATTGCGAAAGCATAAAACAACAATAAAATATATCTATTAATAACCCTACAACGGGAAATATTAGGTGTAATGGGTAATTGGCAAAAGTTTCATCTATTTTTGTATCATTGTCACATTCCTGCTAAAATTCTTGCCTTTTACATTGGCGGGCATAAAATGTCTGCATGCAAAATTTGCATGCAGAAAATATAGGATTCTCTGAATATTCTGTAGGACCCATTTTCCGTTTAATCTTAGAAAATCCTATATAAAATAATATGCTTTTGTACATTTAGTATTATAATTCTATAACGATTTTTATGAAACTATTGTAATACTTTTTACTCACTTTATGGTGAACTTTATTGTGATTTGTGATCGTGTTACAAAGTAATCATCGTGCAATAAAATTAAATTCTCGGATTTTCTCCAAAAATCTAGGATATTTCCAAAGTCGTTTTTCAATTTAAATGAAAATAAAATTGAAATTAACTTTTTTTTCTGCTTTCTTAAAAAGCTTATTTTATCTATAATAAACCATTGCAATAAGACAAGTAAACATTTTTATCAATCTAAATAAAATCAAGTTGAAATTAACTTTTTTTCTGCTTTCATAAAACGCTTATTTTTTTTTTATAATTAACCACTGCAATAAGACACGTAAACATTTTTATCAATTTAAATGAAAATAAAAATTGGAATAAACTTGTTTTCTGCTTTTTAACCAAATGTGATTTAAATATTCGAGAGATTGAGTAAACAGCTTCTCAGAAACCCGAGAAATGGATTCATGTTCAGAGATTAGTTGAGATGTGTGCTCACAAATAAATACCAGGTTGATATTTTTATCTATAATTAACCATTGCAAGTAAACAAGCATTTCATAAAATTACCTAAAACTAGGGTTAGGCAATAAACAGATTCTTTTACAGAAACTTTGAATGATTTTATACTCTTAAACTGTTTTACCAAACATGCAAATTTGTTACCCAAGAAGAAAATATAAGGCAAAAACGATCGTTCTTTTTGGCTTTTTAAAACGATATTTTTTGGTTCATTTTTGTCTTATACTTTACCTAGGATACCAAATTTGCATGTTTGATAAAAGCAAACTTCTACAAAATACAATTTTGAATCGTTGGACCCATTATAGATTGTCGTAAAACCTGTTAAAAGTCTAAAAATATGAAAAATTTCCGTGAAACGAATCTGATATTGCCCATGGCTACCTATAACACTAATTCTTGTTGGCAACACTTGCTATAAAGTTTTTGGACAAAAATTTTCTCTTTATCGAGAAGGTTCAAGTCTTTTATTTTGTCCCGAGCTTTAGCGAACCAAAATAATAGGGTTCTAAATAGTTATAAGAATAATTTTATAATTCTTTTTAGAATATTTTTATAAATTTTTTCATAATAAAATATATATTGAAATAATTTTACCCTGTGGATAGAAGGTTGTCCGAGGAAGAACTGTTACAGATGAGGTTTCATCACTCTCAAATTCTAACTCAGATAATTTATCTACAACACAAATATAAAAATAAAAGAAAAGAGGAAAACATTGAAAAGAATTGAGTTTTCGCCACAACTACTATTTTCTAATCATTATATCTTTGGAACCCGTTGCTGTAGACTTTTGATATTTTAAACTATGAATTTATATGCCAGATGTTAGATTAAATAATCATAGTTTGAAATATCAAAGTTCCTCTGCAGAATCTTTATAAACTATGAATATAGAGTGACACCAATATTAAGGATGATCAGATTTAAACTGTTTAATCTAGGGTTTTAAAAGATCTAAAATTACGATATATCGTAAGAAAAGTTTTTAAAGTTTGCATTTAATATAAAAATGTTTTACTTGTTATGAGCTGTTATGAATAGGATTATCCATATTTTTGCATCGTAAAAAGAAGACAAAAGTAACTCTGTTCATTTTGTCAATCATTTTTTTGGAGCTCACAATACAAAGTTGTTTCACATTAGAAAAAAAACTTAATTGCAATATTTTGGAACACTCATCAGATTGAATTCTATTAGACGTCAGAAAACTTTTAAATTGAGCCCCCATACAAGATTTAATTTTTAATGAAAAATAAAAATGAAAAAAAACATTAACAATAATAAAAAAATCAAGAGCTTAGTAAAAAATCTAACCTGTGATGGACAGATTGATGACTTTTTGAATCTTAGGATCCGTGTTCACTTGGCACTCATAAACACCCTGAACATATAAAACTAATTATTTAAAGTAAAAGTAAGTTTAATTTTAAGTAATCCTTTAATTAAAGGTGGAAATGCCCGATTTACGACGTTATCATTGAAAGCTTTTTCTGATCAAGTGTGAATTAGATATCAATGTATTTGTTTCTTAGAACTGTTTATTTTCGTTTTCTACTCGCGCATTTCTTGTTTATAAGGAACAATGAGGGAATAGGGACCGTGTAGAATTAAAATTTTCAAGTTAGAGAAACTACACAATATCTTCCACATTTTTCATCAGGTTTCAAGGGTATCGTTGAAAACCTGTCCATGGAGGGTCACTTAAAACGCCTTAAATTAAGTTTCTCACACATATTAACAGTTCGGTTCTTCACTTTCCACGACTTTTGGATATTTCACATTGGGATATTGTCGGGATATACGTACGTTTTAAGTAAAAGTTAAACGATTTTTTAATTAAAAACCAAAGCGCGACTGAATTGAAATAAAAGAAACCGAATGCATCTGTTACTGTAACAAAAATGTAAAAAAAAACCTAGAGTTAAAAGGGTTGAAAATTAAATTTGCATTAATTATGATTAGGAATATATTAAAATGTTTAAATGGCTTCAATTATCTTTTATTTGACAAAGTGGGGCCCATAAAACTGTGGAATCCACGATGATTACGATTTCTAATAAGTTTTATGAGTATCACTGTATGCATTTTGTATTGTTCTATGGGAACAAAAGAAATTATAATTGGAATATTTGAATCCGAAACTACAATTTAACATCTGAAAAAAGATGAGAAATGACGCAATTTTCTCGACAAAAATATAAAGGTTTTGCTTGCACAATTGCATTATCATTGCATTCTTCACATGCAGATTATGAACATATTTTGATTCATTTGGTTTTGAGTTGTTTTTAGCTTTAAGGGTTGAGAAGACCTAGAATTAATTAATTGAAAAAACTTTTATTTCAAGGAACTGTTTTCCGTATTATAAGTGACCCTTCTTATATGGAGTGGCATTGACGGTAAGCCTTTCGCTGAGCAACAATTAAAAAAATTCCTTCATTGCGTTTGCTGCATAAACCTGCTCAAGTTTTCCTTTTGAGAGGGCTTAAAGACTTGTATGGTACTGTTGTAAATCTGACAATGGCAGGTCACATAAAACTTTAACGTCAATATTCCCTTTATTACAAATTAAGAGCTTTCCAATTAGTAAAATCCTAAAATTGAAAAGGATCTGAATTAAAGGGACTGTACGCGTGATTTCAAGTGTGACCTTCATGGCATTTTATTTTTCTTAGTAGTTTCTCTGTAAAGTGACTTGGGCATTATAAAATACGCTTACAGTCAGTCCCTTTAATATAATATGCATTTGGGATCAATTAAAATTTCGCTTTCAGTCCCTTTAAAATGTTTCAGTTAAAAATATATTCTAATTGTTCTGGTTCACCAACCTGATCCCCTTCCCCAAGATTAGAAATCTGCAAAATCCAATCAGTTAATGAAGGGTTGGATCCTGGCACCTAGAATAGAAAAATAAAAATGCTTTTCAAGATTTTGAAGATTTTAAAAATTAAGTGGAGCTTTTTTGCTTTAGAAGTTATATTTCATTTAAACGAGGATTTTTTTTTCTTGAATATCATTATGTTATGCCATTTTTAGAATGTAAATGTTAATATTTCTTGAATATAGAAACAGCTAAAAAAGAAAGTGTTTATCAATTATAACTTAAATATTTATTTTCTGCGACTTTTAGAGAGAAAATGTTAACATTTCTTGAATTAAAAACCAGCTTGAATAGAAATTGTTTAACAAGTATAAGTGTTTTTGAAGATTGATAAGAAAAAGTCCAACATCTTTGATCAGTCAAAAGTTTAAAAAGCACTGTTGTGAATCAGACACCCTTCTTTACAGACGGGAGTCACTTAAATTAGCTAAAGTCCCTTTCAGGACAAATTTTGCTCTTTCTTAAATTTCGTTGTCTAACATTATCCTTTGTTATGTTAATTAAGGAAACTTCAAAGAAAATTATAAATATTTTACCATCATCTTATGAACAGAATCATATTTTACCATCATCTTATGAACAGAATCGAGTTCTAGCCATTTTTTTGACGATAAAAACTTTGGAAAAAAGAATGGTTAATTTTTCCAGATCAAAAGTTCTAAATACAATTTGGCAATTTATACGAAAGAAAAAATCTGAAACAACATATATGTGTATGTTTTTTTTTAATCCTTATCCTTGAGAGAGGGGGATTGAATTTTGTAGATCCAGAAAAATAATATCTGTGGGATGCCTGCGTAGAGACTGGCAGCTAGTGGGGTCTTAAATGTAAGACATTTGGCCGCAGTGCTCGGCCCCCTAGCCTTTCCTAGCCGCAGCGCTCGGCCCAGAAAGTGTCATAACTTAACCTAACCTGTGGCCGCAGCGCTCGGCCCCCTAGCCTGTCCCAGCCGCAGCGCTCAGCTCAGAAAGTGTCCTAACCTAACTTAACCCTAAATAAATACTAATTTGATTATTTTTCTGGATCCACAAAATTCAATCCCCCTCTCTCTGTTTTGGAATTTTACGGGACATTGCACACAAAAGGAATCCCACTCTACCCTCAACGCAGCACTCTTCTCAGCTTTGGAGCCGGGAGCTGCTATGGGTAGAGATCCGTACCCCTCCAAAAGCAGAAAGCAATTGATGCTGATGCCAATACTTTATATTTTTTTTACATTTGTCCGACGTACTTTTTTATCTCCATTTTTAAAGGCAACTAACCCCCTCCCCTCCCCCAACTGTATTTTACAAAAATAGTCCAACTGTGATAGGGTTAACACTTCAGCCTACATGAAATTTAAGTACAGTGCGGGTAATTTCTTTTATTTATGCATTCATTGCATTTACATTTACAATTTGCCAATTGAGATTCTATGAATTTTGCACTGAGCGGAGATTGTGGGTAATAATACCAATTAACGTTATTTTTGGACTTCTCCTCTTAATATTTGTCTAATAAAGGGGCTGCTTTGAAATTTAAAGTAGAATTAGAAGCTGTAGGTTCTATACTTTTTATGTTAATAGGCTATCAGGGTGCATTCTAGCTTTTGGCTTTTAACTACTGCTTTTTTCATCGTTCTCTAATTAACAAACATTTTTTTTAATAATAAACGTCCGGTTTTTTCCATGCAAAGTTTTCGTTTCTACAGTAAACAAAATAAAATAATAATCAAATTCTTTTTCAAAATCTTTTTTTTTAAAGTTTAAAACTATCAGTTCGTATGTCATAAAAGGAAGGCTCGGTAATTTTGACAAATAAAAAACAAAACGAAACATGTTTTTAAAACTATGACTATCCTCTGCGTCGTAAATTTTTAAAAATATTTTCAGCTGGCGGAAAATCTGGGAAATCTCGCAAAATTAAATTTTGAACAAATCCCAACAAATGTCAAATATATTGATAAACTTTAAACATTTGAAAAAACAAATCTCATCAAATATAAATCAGAATTATATAAAATCCCCGTTTCTACACTTTAAACATGGTTTACCCTATCAACATGTGATAATGAAACTTTAAACATGGTTTACCCTCTCAAAATGTGGTGATAAAACTTTAAACATGGTTTACCCTCTCAAAATGTGGTGGTAAAACTTTAAACATGGTTTACCCTCTCAACATGTGATAATGAAACTTTAAACATGGTTTATCCTCTCAACATGTGGTAATGAAACTTTAAACATGGTTTACCATCTNTTACTCTCTCAATGTTAACTCTCTCAACTTGTGGTAATGAACGCACGAAGAAAGGGTTGTTATAAAATATAGAAACTTTGCAGATTATAAAATGTTGATTTCAGAAAATGAATGAAATTTAATTTAACACAACGATACCATGGTATATGATTTTTAATAAATCATTAGCTTCAAGTTGAAATCTTGCACTCTCTCAACTCTGAAATCACTGCCATACGTTTTGACGAGTTGAGGGTACTCAGATAAAAGTTTAAAAATATGTATCTTAGAAAATAACCAAACTTCTTGACTTTTCCAATTTCATAACATTTTTGATGCAAATGGTAGGGGATAGAGGAAGATCAGAGGACAGGTCGGTTTGTCATAAAAAATGAATAGTCTATAATTTTGTTATTATAGTATCTAAATTACAAATCTAAAATGTATCTATTTGAAAAGCTCTTGAAAATTTGATGAAGAAACATGTATCAAATATTAATATTTGTTAGAAATAAGATTAAGAATACCTATTTTTATCATTTTTCCGATGTACTATTTTTTAACCATTAAATTTCAAGGTAAAATTTGTCTAATGATCTGGCCTGGAACAGTTGTGCTAGTGAGAGGGGGCATGTATCTCACACCCCCTATCTCAACAAAATCATAAAGGGTAGGGGGTGGAAAACACCCCTCCATCAAGCTATATAATACAAAAAAGCCCAATCAGGATAGGGTTAAGAAGAAAATATTAATAAAACTTTATCTAAATCACAATCCTGGAAAACTTTTTAAAAACTTATTTAATTTTCTGCAGTTACTTGAATACAGATTTAAAGAACATTATTCAGAATAGTTTATGAATAGCTAGATAATCATATGGGAGATTGTCCGTTTTAAGAAGGAGGATCAAGGGGGGGTGGTCCGTGGCATATTGATGAATAAAGAGATTATCTATTTGTCTGTTGGATTTCCGATCATAACTCATGAACCCCTGGAAAGATTCGCCTCAATATTTAATTAGTGAATTCACTAGAACAACATATATGTATAACTAGCCTGGGTTTAAAGTTAAAAAATTGGTTTTTTTTAGGGAAAACTTGAGACAAAGCTGGGTTCCCAAGCTAATCTGATAATAAAACACAAAATAGTTTCTTGAAAGTACGTCTACAATTTCTACAGAAACAACAAAATTCTAGATGGAATAAAGACAGATTTTAGTATTTAATTTTTATCATGACTGTAACAAACTCTGAAGTATCTATATCGCCAACTATCTACCTTACTGTGCTATTCCTATCTTGTATTGTAACTCTTTCTTTAGTTTTGTAACCTGGTCGGTCATACCGGCCAGCATAACCATGTTTATAAATAAATCAGTTAAACACAGACTCTTGTTCAGTATAGACGGAATCAGCCTGGGTAGGCTGATTATTAGAGTTTGAGGCGGTTCAGCCATATAGCAGTCAGGATTTACTGATAGTTAGAGTTTGAGGCAGTTTAGCCATACAGTAGTCAGGATTTACTGATAGTTAGAGTTTGAGGCGGTTTAGCCATACAGTAGTCAGGATTTATTGATAGTTAGAGTTTGTGGTGGTTTAGAAATAAAGATTAAGTGAGGCATGGTACATGACATTATGTTGAAACTAAAAATTCAAATTTAAAATCAAAGCAATATTTTGGCTGACGTGTCAAAACAATCCTAAAAATGTTTTGTTATTTGTCAACATTTTTTAGGAAGCATTAGGGTAAACTAAGTCAAACACATAATGTTAGCAGTTAAATATAGTTTTCCTTATTACTTTCCACATTTGACTGTTTTTTCTCGCCTTTTTTTGTCTTTTTTAACATTCTCGGTTAAATTGTGTTAACAACTTAACTCTGCCATTTTTTTAAGAGTATTGAAATGTGATACTATATTGGTTTTGATGATATTTAAAAGATTTTATTTAAATTTTTTGCTTTTTGACTGTCAAATAATTAAAAAAGGTGAAAAATCGCGTTTTTTTTACACCTTTTTTTATCTAATTATCAATGTAAATCAAATAATCTAAGACTCAATTCTTATTAATATAGAATGTGAGTACTATAGACTTGAAAAAAACTCAGCAGTAAAAAGCCAAGATTGAGTGAAAAGAAAAGAAAGGATGGTTGCACAAAAACTATATTTAAATTATAATGATACGAACAATCAGTGTTGATGGACCAACTAGAGTTGATCTAAATACACACGACGTTCGCCAGAAAGCGAATACATTTCAATTTGACTCTTCTGATCAGACACTTTGTGAGAACTGGCTTAGTTCTGGGCATAAGATGGCCGACAAAACTGCTTTGAAAGTCCTGTTATACTCCTTTCTTCAGCATCGATCCTCCCCTAGCTCCGCCCTTTAAATGGTACCAACTTGGTATTAACCTGATAAGAAAGGGTTTAGTACCCTTGTGAGCCTAGCCTATTATATACTCAGGCTGCAAACACACTAAGGGCTTAATATACTCTTGGGCTTGGGTTTAGATTGTTTGGATTTATGCTTGGATTGGATTGTTAGGCTTTATTTCTCCTCTTGGAAGTAATGAACTGATGCCAGGTACTAAATACAAGTTTTAGAACCCCTGGTTAGGTTCACAGTACGATTATTATTTTGCTGCACGTTTTAGGACTAAAAGCTAGAACTAAACGACGAAAAATCTAGTGTAATATCTTAAAGTAAAATAAATTAACCACGCTAATTCAATATTATAGTTTTAGGGTGTTAACTTCAATCACTCTATTCCTAGTAAAAATTTGAAAATTGAATCATATCATAACCTTATTTAATGGGTTAAATACATAGAGAATAGAATATATGGTTAAATAATTAAAGTGGAACCAACTGTACTATTTAAATGCCAAAATATTACCTGAACCACACTGATCCTGTTGTCTGTATTGAAAGTATGATGACCGACAGATAGTATTGTTACATCTTTACCTCGCATCCAGGTCACCTTTAAAAATATAATCCTTTTTAAAGGGATTGTCTGTTCGCTTTTATAAAAAAATATGAAATGGTAATTCAATTAAGTTAAAACCGGTTCAGGACAAATCTATAACAGAGATCCAGCAAGCTATGAAAATTGTACACCAGTTTTATGTAAAGATTCGACTGTAATGTTTAGCAACCCCTTGGCCTTTGGTTTTACACTCGTAATTTTTTAGACCTAGAAATGCAGATTGACCAACTATAAAGCGCAATTGTTTCTAATTTTAGTTCAAATGAAGTCATTGAAAAGTCCTAATAGATTTTTGTGTGAAAGCATGCACGCTGGTCATTCAACTTCTTGCAGAGAGTTTTAGCATAAAGCACTGAAAGGGAGAGACACTGTTTTTTGTCCGCTCAAAATTTCGAAATAAAAAATCGTAAGATAAGCAATCCAACTTTTGCCGCCAAATGAGCCTTTTTTTATTTCGTAATTTAGAGTGTATAGTGTATACGTGGGTTGCTTAGGTGTGATGCACAGTCAATTCTTGAATCATTTTTCTGCTTGCTGCATTGCAGAAATTGACTCAAAGTGGGAGATCTTGTAAAACGCCTTGGGCTTTGATTTTACTACTCTAACTTTCTTTTGCTTTTCTGTAGCCCTTTACATATTATTGCTGTAAGCTTTAGCTTTTTAGGAAGTAATTGGCAAAATTCTTATCGATTTTTGCTTGAAAGCTTGAGCTTGTGTCCCCCTCCCCTACCCCCCCCCTTGAGTTAAGGGCATGGATGTGTTATTTTTGTTCTTGAGATTGTACATCAAAAAGTCATTTTATTAAATCTATATATACCCTTCATAATGATCATTAATGTAAAATATAAAGAAAAATGAGATTCTGCACAAATACAGAAACTAAGTAAAGATGTTTACAGTTTTGTTTTGTGCATGTTCTTGCATATTGTTACCTATAAGTTTTACATCCTGAGCTTGTTTTGCATACTATGCATTTCTTATTTGCAATTTGTATGCAGTATTCCTTCTCATTTTCAGGATTGTTTAACGCACAATGTTTCCCTCCAGTTTACAAGCCTTACTCTGCACTATCAAGTTGAGTAAACAGTTTCACGACGATCTACATCATTCGTAAAGTTTTGTATTAACTAGTGGGACCAACTCAACTTTGAGTGATCGCCAGGATAGTTCATATAGGTTTGACGCTACAGGGACGGTTAAAGGGAGTGACCGGCAATGTATGGTAGTTGAACTGAGAATGTAGTATTGAAGAGTAATTTTTTAGGATTCATTTAAGACCTCTCAGACGTTTTTTGGTGCATATTTGTTCAGCAAGAGCGCAAATTTTGATCTTTAAAATCCTCATAGATTGTCCATTTTTAGAGGGATGATTTTTGAGAATCTGATTTCGTTACAATCTTCGTCGTTCGTATTGAATAATCCAGAATGGACGTTGAAGGAGGATTTTAAAAATTAATTTGTACCCTTGCGGAACAAATAGACACCGTAAAGACTTCTAATAGGTTTCAAATGAATCTTAAAAAATTTGTTTACAATTCCACACATTGCCGGTCACTCCCTTTAAGGTAAAATGAAAAGGGGTAGACTAATGTCTAGAAATTTTAGGAGTTGATCGCCACCAATATTAATTCTAGCTGATGCCCCTGTCTCGAGAAATTGATAAAAAAAAACTTAGTCAGAGTGATTCGAAAAGTTTAAACAAATCATATTCAAATACGGAACGAATCTGAAAATTGCGATAACGCAGAGGTGCCTAGAAATTTCAGAAACACTCCTATTAAAATTTGAATGTTATAATATTTTCCATTTTTAGGTTACTAGGCATCTCTGGTTTATCCTAATTTTCAGACGTTTTCTCATGTGTTTAGTTCACAGTGATTTTAGACGAACCTTGTTTTTATCCTAGGTTTTATGTGAGAAGTTAAAAATAAATTACTAAAATTAGTTTAAATCATGATTGCTCAATTTGTTATTTATTCATAAATACATGGAGAACTAAAATCTTACAGGACGAATGTGCGGCGGCGCCATTCTTCAACAGCTATAATTCTTCAACAGCTATAATTCTTCAATTACTTTTCAATATTTTTTTTTACTTATGATGTTTCGGTAAAATGTAAACCGTAATTCACTGAACCCTAAAATGTTTTGCCTGTAATCAAGGCTTCAGAAAAAAACTGATTTTGTATTGTCCAAGTCCTTTTCCATAAACTAGACTTTATCTTTAACAAATTTATCTTTAAACTATTGCTCTTCCACTTCAAGTTGCTTGTTCTTTGTTATTCACAAAACATTATTTTCGCGAATTCTTCCGTTTTAATTGGTGCATTCAAAGTTTCTTTTTTTTTTTTTGGGGGGGGGGTGAAATTTCAAATTTAATGGTCCATAAAACAATTTCCTGTGGTAATGTTAAAAATCATGATAATAATATCAATTATCATCCACATCTCTTTAATAAATTCTACAAGAAAATGTTGCTTGACTGCCCCTTGGGATTGTAATATAAATAAACAAATAAAGTTTTTTAAAAATTTGGTAAAACTTACAGTGTACAGTAACCCGAGGTTTTTAACAGTGCAGGGCAGCTGGGCTGTTCCTCCAAGATGTGATGTTACATTAGTTTCCTGCTCAAGAAACTCAGGATTCCTTAACAACAAGAGTATTCAAATAAAATGCTAAGATTCGAAAAGAAAATTTTCTAATTCTAATATCTTTGCAACCTGATGGCGTAAACCGTTGATATTTCAGACTGTTCCATAGTTTGAGTTATAAAATGATTACACATTTATAAAGGCATATAAGTATAAAATCTAAATTTTAAGTTTCTACTGCTGTTCGATCCGTTCTTCAATTATTATTTAAATGCAAAATGTTGTCCAATCTATTTTTAAGTTTTAATGCACTTAAAGTAACTGTAGTTGTAGACATAACTTCAAGTGATCCTTTATTTAAAATATAGCCTGTTCAATTTATAAAAAGTATATCTTTAAACCTTTTCAAACCGTAATGTGGAAGATATTGTCGTTTTCTGTGTATCAAAGTGTTTGATTCTATCTATTTCCGTCACTGTTATTTGTACATTCATGCGAAAGTCACTCTATTATAGAGAAAACATAACTGAAAATAACAAATAAAAAAATGGTGGATTTGACGTATTTTGACAAATCTTACCGTTGTTGTATATTTGACATGTACTCTACATTTGATAAGTCATGCTTAAAAATAAATAAACAGTTCTTTTGAATTTTTTAAGTCATTGATTTTTCAAATTTATATTTAATTTTCATAATTTATTGATCATGTGATATCAAACTAATGTAAACTTATAATGTTTAAGGTTTTTTTCTCACACAGACCTAGATTCCAAACTTCTATACAAATTGCATCGATTTGAAAGAATGAGTAAACTTTAAAGTAAAAAATTTAAGACCTTAAAGAACTTGTTTTTAACAATAGTTTTAAAGAAGTAATTCGCAAAATTTTTTGTTTGAGAGCTTGCAACATTTGGATCACTGTGTTCTGACAATTTAAAAGGTTTGTAAGTTTTTAAATTGTCATTCGCATTTTTTGCATCTTAAGATTATTCTCAGCATGAGTTGTGTATACCATCTATTTAAATATCAAGTATCTTGGACATTCATTTTATTTTCACAGGCCCCACATTTTTAGGAAAATATTAAAGTCATGTACATTCATGTACATAAATTCCAATATATTCAGTATTTACTTTTCATCTTTCCATTAATAAAAAAGAAAGAAAAGCACATTGAGTTAAACATGGGCATAGTTTTGATTTGTTCGTATAGAGGGCCTACACGCATAATTACAAGTAATCCTCCAAACAAAGTCGGCAATCCCTGATTTACAACAAAACCCTTGAAACCTTTATCTGATCAATAACATGGAAGATTTTATTTCTGATAATTCCTATTTTTTCNCAGAAATCCGTAATTCAATTTTCTAAAATTAGAAATAATAAAATTCCAAAAAGAGAAAAACAACTAGCTGAGCTACAAGGTCGCAAAGTCGATCCAATAACCCTTTATTAAATAAAAGTCTCCTTAATGTCGAGATTGTTAGAAACATTATAATTATATAAATCATTTCATTTAATGAAGGAGATGCCCTATTTACAAAGATGCCCTTTAAACTTTATTTAAAAAAAATAATTTAGAAGATATAATGGGTATTTTTAAGCTCGAAGTGTGTGTGATAAATTTGAACACTTAACTCTATTTTCCTGTTACCAGAAAATCCGCTAGTCACTTTTCTAGCGAAACTATATCAAAGTTCATCCATGTAGTGATATTATAACATACATATACAAGGTATAAACTATAAACGTCCAAATTAGGTCACGTAAGTACATATCGTGCATGCTTGCTTGTTATAAATGTTTTTGTCGATTTCGTCTCAGACTCCAATCTTTACAGATAGAATATGATCAAAGCAAAATTATTGGAACGAATTTTCGACCTCGTAGCTCCTCTAATTTGAGTTTAAAACCAAGACTGATAAGATAAAAAAAAAACTAAGGAACTGAACACATTAATGATTTTTATCAAATGTTAAATAATTCTTTCATTTGACGTGTACAATCTATTTTGAACAAAACTGAAGAAAAATTGTCACAAATTTCCAATCCAGTTCATTTCATGTACCGAGCCGAATTTCAACTAGCCAGGGCAAGCAGTTCAGTACAAATGTAGACTGTATGAGGCAAAACGGGAAGGTACACCAAATGAATTACCCTTCTAGGGAATTTTACGCGCTATGGGACTCATGGGACAGGAAGGACAAAAAATGTCAAAAGAATATTTTTAAATTTTGATATGATCAGCTTTTGTACCGTTTCAAATAATTGTTACTTGTTAGTTATTTATCTCTAAACATAAAGTAGTAATATTCTTTTGTTTGTATGTCCGATCATAACTCATAAACCCGGCCTGGACCAATTTGACTTAAATTTTGATTAGGAAAATCGGGAGAACCACGGAAAAGATTATTAGCTTGGTTTTGCGATTCTAAGTTGAGTGGGTTGACTTGTATAGGGAAAATCATATTTAAAGATCAAGCGCGGGTAAATGACGGATAACAAAGTAACTTGGGCAACGCTAGGTTCCCAAGCTAGTACATTATAATACACTTTCCACAATCTTTAATTTCCAAATATTTNCCCCCCCAAAACTCTAAATTCAACAAAAAATAGCTCGTTAAACAAAAAATCAACATATCGATCGAGATCGAAATCAATTCGGACTAAGTAATCCTAAACTGAACTTAAATGATTTGCAAAAGCATTGCACAGTCTATTTAATGTTTTATGAATCCTTTCGTGTAATAGCCAGCAGTCCTTCACTTACGAACCCTTATTTATCACTAAAATGTGGAAATTAAATTATTTTCTTTGTTTTTTTCTGTTGGATTTTATGTTTTTATTTTAAAAAATTGTATCGCAAAATTCGCTTGAATTTATTGAACTTTGATTTGAGAGCAAAACGTGACCAAAATTTATTTCGAAAGAGAAAAAAAACAATACCGCGAACTAATTCCATGCTTTGTTATATTCTTTTACGACAAAATAAAATAAAATTCAAGTGATTTTCTTAAGAAACTCTTCTGTTCATCACGGAACCCTCTATTTTTACAAAGGAAATAAAAAACTAATTTAAAATTAAAATTGTTTTCCGAGGTGTAATATATTTTGTTTTTCGCGTAAAACCAAGATTTTAGTGCAAAATAAATGTTGAACCTCTGAAAGGCGAAAAGTAAGAGTAAATAGTGAGGGCATATGATTTTTTTATTTCTACGTTTGGAGAGCAGGTTTTTTTTTAAAATGAGACTTTAAACTTAATCCAATCCTCTTAATCCTTTCTGACCGAGGTCTTATTACCGAATACAGACTTTACAAGCTTATGTGATCATGCTGCCCATCTAGCTGTGGGTCAACTGCTACTATTTAGAAATGTTTGTTCTTATCGTAATTTATCATGTTGTACCCATGATGATGAGACTTCAGAGACGACTGTACGGAATTACCACTGGCATCTTTATCTTTTTGTCTGCAATGATAAACTAGGTCACAACAAGACTGTATACAAACCAGAATACTTAATTTCACTTTCATGGTAATTCATATTAAACGAGTTTTAGGTCGTCTTTACAGTCTCATACGTTGTGGGTAAACCTGTAAATCATACTGAATATACAATTAGTATTGTTTTAGGTCGTCTTTACAGTCTCATACGTTGTTGGTAAACCTGTAAATACTACTGAATATACAATTAGTATTGTTTGAGGTCGTCTTTACAGTCTCAT